ACGCCTTGTGGCCAAAGACTATGCAACTTGAACTTGATGCTATGGAAGCGAACCACACCTGGTTGTCTCATTGCCTACTAGGAAAATTCAGTAGGTTTTAAGTGAGTTCATAAAAATAAATATAAATCAGATGGTTTCCTAGAAAGGTACAAAGTACGCCTTGTGGCTAAATACTACACACAACAAGAAGGGTTAGATTAGTTTGAGACTTTCTTCCCGGTAGCCAAAATTGTGACCGTTAAGGTGATGCTTACTCTTGCAGCATATCATAATTGGCACTTGTTCTAGCTAGACGTGAATAATGTTTTCTTACATGGTGACTTGTTTGAGGAGGTCTATATGGATCTTCCACTTGGTTATGAGCTCCATAAATCTATCAAGCAGGGGGGAAGAGCTGGTTTGTAAATTACACAAATCAATATACGGCCTCAAGCAAGCTTCAAGGCAATGGAATTCCAAATTTTCCCATGCTTTCATTCATCATGGCTTCACTCAATCAAATGTAGATTATTCTCTATTCACGAAAGGCTCTGGTGATAACTTTTGTTACATTATTGGTTTATGTTGATGACATTGTCATCACTGGACCCATTCATTACATTGATTCCTTAAAGGTTTTCTTGCATTCTCAATTTAAACTCAAGGACCTGGGTTGTTTGAAGTATTTCTTAGGGATTGAAATTGCTCGTTCTACATCAAGTATTGTTATTCAACAAAGACAGTATGCCTTGTAATTACTTGAGGATGCTGGTTATTTGGACTGTAAACCAGTTAATAGCCCTATGGATCCAAAGACACCCCTCAACTCACATGATGGAGATTTGCTACCTGATGCTTCTCATTACAGGAGGTTGATTGGGAGACTACTCTACTTAACTCTTTCACGACCAGATATAACATTTGCGGTGTACATTTTAAGTCAGTACATGTCCCAACCAAGGCTACCACGTCTTAAGGCAATTCACCATCTTCTTCGATACTTGAAAGGGAGTCCAGGACAAGGCTTTCTGTTTTTTTCTCACATAACTTCTCCTGATGGTTCTCCAGACAAGCCTCTCAAACTTCGAGCATTTTCTAATATTAATTGGGGATCTTGCACTGACACTCAAAAGTCTACTACTCGTCTTTGTATATTTATTGGTGAATCCATGGTTTCTTGGAAATCAAAAGGACAACCTATATTTATCGTTCATCAGCGGAGGCCGAATATAGAGCTATTGCTGCCACAATTAGTGTAATCATCTGGATTAATCAATTGTTAACAGATTTCCAAATCAATGTTACCCCTCAAGCTATCCTTTACTATGACAATCATTCTACAATTCAAATTGCCACAAATCCTATTTTTTCATGAACGAACGAAGCACATTGAGATCGATTATCATTTCATTCGTGAAAAGATTACTTCTCGATTGGTTAAGCTACTTCCGATTCAATCATAGCATCAACTAGCTGATGCCTTTACTAAACCATTACTTGCATCCATTCTCAATCCCTTGTTAGCCCAGATGTGTATCAATAATATATATTGCACATCTTGAGGAGTATTATGACTTATTCATCTTGTAATGATCTTTTTTTGTTCTGGCCAGCTTCACGTGTAAGCAGTTAGTTAATTAGTTAGGACATTTGGCATTTCTTTTGGCTATTTATACATGTATAGTTAATTCATCTGTAATCAATATTTTAATTCTGATCAATAACAGAGCAACACATTCTTCTTCCATTTATCTCTAATAATATTGGGACCAACAACCCTTTTCAACATCCCTCCACTCAAGCTTGACATGTACCGTTCCATTAAAAATTGTTACCTAATTAGAACATACCCAATTTGTCTTAATCCTTCAACAAAACTTGGTTTATAGTGTATGTTTGGTATACAAGGCAAGCTTTATGAATAAAAAGTGTGGACAAAGCTAATGTTGATCAATTAATATATTTGAAATTAAAAACTTTACCAATATATAATTTATTTTATTTTTGCTTGGAATCCCTCCACACACTCACACGGATGAGAATTTTAGTGTAAAGCATAAAACGAAGTGCAAAGGAGGCTAAAACTTCCCACACAAGAGATGACAATCACATTTTAATTAAGATCCTAATTGAATTGAATTGAATTGAATTGAATTAGATATATGAAAACACAAAGGATTAGAACTAGACGACAACTTTAAGTCCCAACAGAAAACAGGAACTCATATGACACGATGTTTAGGCTTCCTTCAAATTCATCATTTCTTTCCACATCCACATTTTATTGAACAAAATTAGAAATTGGGGAAATAGTCGTTAATTTCACAGGGAATTTACCTT